TGGTCACCTCCGGGGCAGGCGGGAATCGAACTCATGCGGAAGCGGCTTTAGATTCTCAGTGCAGTGCTTTAACCCGCTGCGCCACCAGGGAGGGCCCAAGCCAACTATTTTTAAGGCTATTATTTATTTTAATGGAAAGATCTTGCATCTAGCATGGGTTTGTTCACCTGTCAAAAAGGTGAGAAAACTGGCTATTTGGGGTTTGCATATGTGTGTGTAAGTTATATCCCTGTTGCAGATACATTGCCCATAGTTAACTGTATGTTTTTGCCAATGAAGCATTTATAACTATCAAAATCTAAAACTATCAAAAAGTGAGTTAACCCTCTTTTGAAGTAGTCTTTAAGAAAGTACAAAAAGATACCTTTTTTAAAACCTAAACTAAATAGAAGGCTGAACTCATTTCATTATTTGAAAGTTATACTGATTTGTGATAGCAGAGAAGACAACTAAATTAAACTTCCACTTTGTTGAAGTTGTTTTTAATTCAGCTTGATGTTAATGACCTTAAAATTTACAAGTTGGCAGAAATTACATGTAATTTGGGTATGTTGGATATGTAAACTGAAAGGTTTTAAATTTATTTGAAAACTTCAACCATTGCTTTTTTCTTCTCAGTTGTTAATATAACTTTATTATATTTTTAAATTGGCTTGAAAGAAAAGCCGGATGTTTGTAACATCTCTCATCCAACTGACTGAGTGTCACATTTTGTGGTTGTGTTAGACAGGGCTACAGACTGCCCACCCCTGCCTCTTTATTTTTGTTGCTTCTTGCTGACTCTGTCTCTCTCTCTCTCTCTCTGCCTGTCTTTCCATCTCTCATAACTTTTTTCTTATTTCTGAGCAACCATACCTATTGTCTGTAAGTTTAAAACATTGCTGTTGCAGTTTTGATTTGTATATGTTACATGAAAATATGCTGGACACTAAAGAATGTATGCAGACAAGGATAAACTTAGGTAGTAAACATGGGCCTACTTCTTTAATAAAATCATATAGGATTAGAACCTTCATATGGGCTGCATAGTACAGGTGTAAGCTGAGCCCAGCACCTATTACATGAAGTCATATTATAGTGAAATTTGCATACCAGAAAACTTAGATAAAGCCAAACTTATGTTTTCCTAGCTAGTTCTGATGCTAAGAAAGTAAATAGATATTAATCATTGTTAATATAGTTGTTTTTCTCAATATTTAGAGATGAAAACTTCATGAGCTTAAATCATTAGAATGATTAATATTACTGAACTTTCATTATATTTTTAATTAATCTTTATTTTGATTTAATTGTAGTTTACATTTATTTATAAAAAATAATAGAGAGAGGCCCTCCCTGGTGGCGCAGCGGGTTAAAGCACAGCACTGAGAATCTGAAGCCACTTCCGCATGAGTTCGATTCCCGCCTGCCGCCTGCCCCGGAGGAGACCACATGGCGAGCCAGACCTCTCCTGACCCGCCCGCTGCTTCCCTCAGCAGTGTACTTCGTCGGTCTGCCTGTTCTGCTCCCCACTCTGTCTCTGGTGAAGCCTCTCACCGTCCCTGAGCCTCTGGCCTGTACCCCAGTTCTGTATGAATAAATAAATAAAAAAAAAAAATAATAGAGAGAGATCGATCTTATTCTTCTCCACCCCATCTCCCCCAATTTCCTCAGGGTCAACATCTTGCAAAATTAGTATAACCAGAATATGATAGTCAATATTGTATCAACATTGTAACACTGTTATGCTGTGTTTTTCCTTAAGTCTCTTGTCTCTATGTCATAGATAACCTGTTTCTTCTCACCAACATTCTTTGTCTCCCTATATTTCATTTACATAATTTACATATAATGTATGTAAATTATATATTTTTCAGGTATTTTATTTGGGTGAAGGGGAAAATAGAAGTATGTTTATTCCATCTTCCCAAAAGTATCACTGTTTTGAAGAATGAATGTTAAAGGACCTTCTCAAATAAAGAACCTGAGAGGACCCCAGAGAATTGTCTGTTAATTTCCTTTTCTGCTTTAATGTATAGTCATTCAGTAACTATAGTCCATTTAATAGCAAAGACATTTTTGACATTGTTCCTTTGACATTTAATGTCATTTTCTTTATTTTAAAAAAAAACTTGTGTAGCTATTGTCTGATCATTTTATTTGCAGGTAACATTTATTTTAATGTCTAGACAATTTTTTGAGTCTGTTGGAAGTCTTTACACATTCCCTGCATTTCCTCCTGAGGCATCCTAAGGCCTCAGATCAGGAGATCAAACCCAGGCACTTTGCTGGCACTTTGCTGGTCTTCTTTCATTTCCCCCTCTCCTAATACAAGTTTTTCACTGGAAAAGTAAAATCAGATCCATTAACAGTCACTCTTGAAGAATGTCTGAGGGCAGCGTTCACTTAATGGGTAGGCTTGGTTTTATCTGTCCAAATTAGGCATTGATTTTTCTTTGTAGTCTCAATTTAACAAGAACTTAAAGGGAACCCAACATTACAAATAAAAGAGCAGATTTCTTTCCTTTTTTCCAGGCAAAAGCTTGTTATACCAAATGAAAGTTATCCTGTTATTCTGAATACTTATTTTTGTAAGAAAGTTGTTGCCAAAGAAGATTCAAAAACAACACATGAAGTGCACTGTTGGGGCACACCCCTTCAAAGAAGAAACATCGCTTTGGACCATATGTTTAGATTCAAGAGTCTAATGAATGATTCCCTTGAAAGCCAGGTAAACTCTTGTTAGTTTAAATGTTTTATACTTTGTAATAGTACTAGATTTGAAAGGGCTTCAAAGTAAGTGAAGATGTTTACTTTTGGTCTCCTTCAACATTGATAGCAGTTACATATGCTGGAGAATCTTATGCCTGGAGAAACTGGTTCAGTTCAGTATTTACTTATGGTCATTTCCTATTATTTCATCTTCCTAGTTATATTTTTAATTTCTACTTTTTTAATTAGTTAAACTGTTTAATTTTTTTAACATTGAAGAATTTTTTTGATTTCATAAGTATTTAAGAATTTTTAAAGTCCTTGGGCCCTCCCTGGTGGCCCAGCAGGTTAGGATGCAGCACTTCAAGCTAGCTATAGCCTCTTCAATATGAGTTTGATCCCCGATCCCGTTGATAACCCACATGGTGCAGCAGACCTCTCCTGTCTTGCCCACTGCTCCCCTCAGCAGTGTACTTCGTTGATCTGCCTATTCTACTCCCCACTCTGTCTCTGGTGAAGCCTCTCACTGCCTCTGCATCTCTGGCCTGTACCCTAGTTCTGTATGCATAAATAATCTTTTTTTAAAAAAAAAATTAAGTCCTCTTTAATTTACTAAAAAATCATTTTTGTTATTTTTCACAATACCTATTTATCTTGAAACAAAAAAGAACTGCATAAATTTGAGCTTATACAGTGAGAAATATATTTTGGAATTTTATTGGCCCTGAACCATGCCTGTCTGTGAAGATGGGTTCAGGGAACCACTAAACTTCAATCCCAGCAAGCATTAAAGGAACTTATTTTTAGTCTGTGAAAGTTTTGAGCCTGTTGCTAGTCTTTGCTCACTCCCTGCATTTCCTCCTGAGGCATCCCAACACTAACACCATCATCTGCCAGATCAGGAAATCAATTTCAGGCATTATTTCAGGTTCTACTTGCCAGTGACTCCCTAACTCAGTTGACTCAGGGCCTCTGAGTTACCCAAATTAACCAGCATTTATAGTGTGAGGGAAAGTAAGAAAGATAGGAAAATAGCCATATTTTCATTTTTCCTAATATGTATGTTTAATCAAGCGGGATGGCCCCTGATTATCAGAAGGGGATCATGAAAAAACGGAGGCTTCTCTAATCAGTTGAATTGAGCCATATTTAAAAATATGGCTCAAAGCACATCATAACCTGCACATATAATTTTAAACAGCTATATACTATTATGTCAAATTGGTAATGCTACAGTAGAATTAAGAGAGTCGTGGTTTAAATTATGCCCCATCCACTTCCTATTGGGTGACCTTGGTCAGGGTACTTAATTCCTCTGTGCCACTATTCTTATCTGTAAATTGGTGACAGGAATATGATCTACCTCTTTGGGCAACTGTGAGGTTTCATATGTTTATTATTTATATATGCACAGTACATAAAGTGCCTGAAATATAGGAAGCACCTCTAGGAGTGTTACTGTGATAATTAATATTATTCTGAAGCATTGTTGAGAGATGACATGAGCATGGTAAAGTGACTATCCTAGTAGCCAAAACTTAACTAGCATTTAATAAATATGGCTATTTTTTTTCACACTAATGATTCTTTTACTTTGTATTTTAATTTGTCCTATTGGAATTATTTCATCTTAAAGGAAATTTTTTTCTAAATTACCATGAGATATTTCAATAGCAGGACTTCCATATTTTCAAAAACCCGAAATGGTCTAGGCTTCCAGTGACAGGAATCACTCTTTGTCCTTTCTATGTCATTCCTGCTCACATTGACCTCCTCACCAGTATTCATTGCCTGACATACATAGAATCCTACTTATGGGTTTGTTTGTTTGTTGTTGTTGTTTTTTTATTTTCATCATCCATTTTGTGTTTAGCAGTTACATTAAAGCATTTCTTTAGAAGGTTATTATTTGGTATGCAACATACCATCATGAGTCAAGCTGAAAATGTTCCTTTGTGTGTCTTGAATAGGTTATGTGTAGTGGGCTCACCATCGTGGCAACAGACTGGACCCAGAGGGACAGAGAAACAAAACAACATTTCCCTTCCCTACCTGCCCTGAGGGACTCTCTCCTGGATGCAGTAGAAAGCCAGGGAGCTGACACATGGTCAGGAGTTGGAGTCCGAGTGGTGGTGCAGAGAGTTTACTCTCTTCCCTACAGGTGTCAAATGGGAGGTGGCTCAGTTGCTCCACTCAACTCAGAGCCAGCTAAAGTTCGGTGAGTGATAAGACGCAAGTATAGGTATACATATATATAGTCGCATAAAGAAAGTAACAGTGTCTTGGCTATACTTAACATGTGAGTTATTTTTGTTTGTTTGTTTTTGAGACACATGCTATGGCAAAGGATTTTGTGTATTTATATAAAAAGTCCTACTACAAATTTTAGTTTGTTGCGTTATTTTTAATGATACTGAAGGAAATAATGGTATTCTAAGAAAACCAGAGTATGTGCTTACCATATCTCAACCTACTGCTGCAAAATTTATCAAGTTTCATGTGTCTTAGAAACCCTACTAAGTAAATAGAAATCAGTAAGTTTGTGGTTTGTTGGGTCCCAGCCGGGATGAGCCTCCCCAACCAACCCCGGAGCTTAAGCACAAGATCATAATAGGAACAAGACATCTTGCCACTTGTGTGAGTGGCTTAACCTTTGGGCAACTGATTAATATCCACCCTGATTGCAGTAGCACATGTGAGGGAGATTTCCTCCTGTCCCCAGGCCAACATCCTGGGATTAAGGGTATAAAAGGGAGGCTGGAAAGGATAAGAGGAGAGAGAGAACGTTTTGCTGCAACCATCTACATGTGCTGACTCTTCAACCTCGACGTCCCCTGCGCAGACTCGTATCCCTGCCGTGAGGGCGCGGCAGTGGTTCTTTAAAAAATGCTATTTCAGTCTACATCATTGCTACCTAACAGAACTTTCTGCAACCTTGTAAATGTTGTATATTTGCACTATCCAATGAGGTGGCCATTGACCACATGTGTGGTTATTGAGCATTTGAGCTGTGGCTATTTGAACTGAGGAAGTAAAAGCTAAATGTTGTTTTTTTTTTTAAATTTTAATTAACTCTATTTTAAGTAGCACCATGTCGCTGGTGGCTACTTTGATAGAAGGCAACTAGATGGTTACATTAGCAGAGCTGAGTCAAGCCCATATTCAAAGCATTTTACTCATATGAACTATGCGGAGGAGGATGATGTCTTATTTCTATTCAGATTTAGGCCCTTCCTGGTTTTTGTGGTTTTTCAAATAGCTGTGGACACAGCATTGGCCAAAGAGTTTATTTATTTATGTCAGCATTTGGTATTATCTTTTGAGTTTATCTTTCCTTCTATGTCTAATTTGCCTTTAAAGCAATAAAACAGATTTTCAACAGAATAGAAATTAGAAATATAGATGCTGGCTCATCTGTCATTTTTTTCTATCTGCTCTTAATATGACATACATATTAAAGAAACAATACTTAGAGTCATTCCACTTTTATTCTACCTTCTAATGTCATTCAGAATGAGTGACAGGAAACATTTCTATATTAATCTTGAACTTTCTTTATGTGGATGGCACTTTATTTGTAAATATTATGACTTTCAAAAATTCTCCTTTAGGTGTAGAGCTAGAGGATATTTCTTCTAGAATTACTTTTAAAGTTTTATTTGCTTGGAATATGTATATGTATAAAATCCATTACCTCAATTTTAAAGCTTGTAGCATGACTTACAATTGTAAACAGTCTTATACGCTGACTTAACTCTGCGGTAAATCTAAGTAGAATTATCTAAGGCAATTATAGGTTAGAAATAGGTTTTGTTTTGCTTTCCCCTTTTTAATAATATGGATCCAGTATAGCCTTTTAAAAGGAAAAGCAGAGTAAGCTAGGCAAACAGTCTCAGTGAAGCTTCCCCAATGCCAGCACATAGACCACATGCTCCTGAAGACAGATCAGCAAGAACTGCCATGGTGATAAGAAGGAAGAACCAAACTGGGAGAGGCTGTTTCTTCTGAGTAACCACAAGCAGCATGTACCTCAAGACTGCCCTTCCAGTTCCTTCCGAGGTACTTGTTTTACTTGTTTAGCAAAGGAAAGCAATTGGAAGCTAAAGTCTGTTAGAGTGTGACCAGAGGTCGGCATTAAGGGTGTTTTGGATTTATACCTTGACATATAACCCAACACATTTTGATAGGACTATACCTGTAGTTAATTGAAAAAAAAAAAAAGTGAGGAACAAACCTCAAAAACAAGAAATCAGCATATAGTTATTCAGATAGAATGAATATACATTGTGTTCAGTGTGTTTCTTATATTATACAAATTGTATAATGCTGAGGCTAGGGCATATTAGTCCTATTTCTTTGAATAGGAAATAGACTGAGAGTTTCCAAACTGTTGAAAGTTATACAGTGGGCAAAAAGAAATGATGAGATATAGATTTCTCAAATGACAGGGTTATAGAGTATTTTGAAGATAAAAGAAATTGAGTTTAAGCCACTCTGTGTTTAGATTAGGACTGATTCAGGGTCATGTCATACTGGGGCAGAAGTAATAGTGCCTGGTTATGGGGAGAAGTGGTTGGTGTGTAGGAATAAACAACTTTTGGATAGAAACCCACAACTTTTCACCTTTAGTTTAACAACAAGGCTTCTAAGATGTTTTGGAATCCCAAAAAGCTCTTACGTAATTACCCATTCTCGCTTTTGTAGATCCATTTGTTATAACAATGATCAAGCTTCCCAGTTCATATTTTTATTTTTATATTTTAAAATATCATTTTTTATATTTTCACAGTATAGAATTTCTGCACTCAGATGTGGTCACTATAATTTTCTTACCAAAGCAACCATTGTGCTCTTCTCCTCCATTTTTTACTCTCCTTCTTACCCCCTCACCCCTTCCCCCGAATGTCAGATCTGTTGTCTGCTTCAGGGTCAGTCTTCTACAGGTTTGTTTTTGTCTGATGCTTTGTTTGGAGTCTCTAAATTACATATATAAGTGAAGCCATCGATATTTCTTTCTTTTTGCTCACTTCACAAGATTAATCCCTTCCAGTTCCATCCATGTTTCCATGACTAGTATGAGTTCATGTATTTCAATCACTGAGTAGTATTCCGTTGTGTTTATTGATCCACTCATCAGTTCTGGGCATTTAAGTTTTTCCATTGCTAAGTTATTGTAAGTAGTGGTGCTGTGAACACAGGTACATATTTTTCCTTTCAAATTTGTGTTTTTGTATTCTTTGGATAAATATCTTTGAGTGGATGTCAGATCATTTTCATACTTTTGAGGAATCTCCTCACATCATTCATAGGACCTAATCATTCTGTACTCCCACAAACAGTGTAATAGGGTTCATTTTTATTACACTCTCATGAACACTTGTTTCTCTTCTTTTTGTTATGGCCCATTCTCAGAAGTATGAGGCTGTATCTCATGTGGTTTTGATTTACATTTCCCTGATGTTAAGGGTTAACAAGCATTTTTTCATATGTCTGCTGGCTATTTGTATGTCTTCTTTGGAGAAGTGACTATTTAACTCTTCTGCCCATTACTTGATTGGATTGTTTATTTTTGTTTTGTTTATTTGTATAAGTACTTTTGTAGATCTTTGATATCAATCTTTATCAGCTGTATGGTTCGCAGATATTTTCTGCCATTCAGTAGGGTGTTTTAGTCACTCTCTTTTGCTATATAGAAGCTCTTCAGTTTACTATAGCCCTAGTTGCTTATTTTCTTCTTTGCTTTTGTTATAGTTGGAGATGAGTCCACAAAGGTGTTTCTGATGTTTGTCATGGAGTGTTTTGCTTGTGTTTTCTTCTGTGTATTTTAAGATTTCAGGTCTTTCATTCAAGTCTTGTATGCCTTCTAAGTTGATTTTGCAGTACACTGTGAGATAAGGATCTAGGTGGTTCATTCTTTTGCATGTGGCAATCCAGTTTCCCCAATACCATATATTGAAGAGGATTTCCATGTTCCAGTGTATATATTTTGCTTCTTTGTCATATATTATTTGCCCATAAATGTGTGATTTTATTTCTGTGCTCTCAACTTGTACTCATTCACCTGTGTCTTTTTTTTTTTTTTTTTGGTCCTAGTACCATACTTTTTAATTTTTTTTTTTTTAAGATTTTTTTTTTTTTAATTTTATTTGTGCATACAGAACTGGGATACAGGCCAGAGATGTGGAGGGTGAGAGAATTCACCAGAGACAGAGTGGAGTGCAGAACAGGCAGATCAATGAAATACACTGCTGAGGGGAGCAGCGGGCGGGTCAGGAGAGGTCTGCCACGCCATGTGGTCACCTCCGGGGCAGGCGGGAATCGAACTCATGAGGAAGCGGCTTTTAGATTCTCAGTGCTGTGCTTTAACCCGCTGCGCCACCAGGGAGGGCCATACTGTTTAATTTTTATGGCTATAGAGTATATATAGTTTGTGGTGCAGAAGGGCAATACTTTCATTTTTCTGCTCTTTTGTCAGGAAAGTTTTGACCACCAGAATTTCTTTTGGTTCCGTATGAATTTCATTAATCTTTGTTCTATTTCTTTGAAGAATGCCACTGGGATTTTTAATTGGGATAATGTTGAATCTGTTAAATTACTTTGTTTATGCTTGGGTAGGATGGCAATTTTAACAGTGTTGATTCTTCCTGTTCCTGAGCAGGGTATATATTTCCATTTTTTTGTGTCTTTTATTTCTTTAAGCAGTATTTAATAATATTCCTTGTTTTTCATTATTTTTGGTGACACTGTATATAGTATGGTTTTCTTAATTTCTTCTTCTAGTTCATTATTTGCAAATAAGAACAACTGATGTTTGAGTGCTGATTTTGTATCCTGGCCGTATGCTGAACTGGAGACTGGTCTATAATTTTCTTTCTTTGTATTGTCTTTACTTCTTTTTTAATATTAGAGTAATGTTGACCTTATAGGAATTGAACATGGTCAACAGGCATATGAAAAAGTGTTCAGCATTGTTTGTAATAAGGGAAATGCAAATCAAAACCACAATGAGATCCGTCTTACACCAGTTGAGAATGTTACATATTTTAAAAATTAGCAACAATAATGCTGGTGAGGTTGTGGAGAAAAGAAACTCTCCCACACTTCTGGTGGGAATGCAAACTGGCATTACCACTATGGAAAGCTGTGTGGAGGTTTCTCAAAAAAACTGAAAATAGAGCTTCCATATGACCCAGCAATCCCACTCCAAGGTATCTATCC